TCATTTAATTCATGTGGAACAAATCGCACACAGACCTTTATTTTCCCCAAATCTTCAGTTAAAATGCTCCAAATAGTGTTTTTACTCGTGTTCAATTCCTCAGCCAACATTCTCGTAGTAAAATCTGCATCGATACCAATGATTTCACGGACTTTTTCCACCAGTTCAGCACGATTACTAGTTTCTGGACGTCCTGCTCTAGGGTCGTCATTTAAATCCTCACGACCATTTTGAAATCGTGTAAACCACGCATAAACTTGCGTACGACTCATACAATCATCACAATAAACTTTTTTCATTAATTTTTTTTTCAAGTTTGACACAAAATTTTATGTTTGCCCTTTGTTCCATTTTATTTTTGAACCATTAGCACACTTTTGGTTTTATTGAAATGGCTGTCACTTTTACATCTGTCATCCGACATACATGATGTTAGATGCGTTTGAAAGAGGATGAATGTATCTTTTTAATGTTGCAAGTTTTCAATAGCTGGCGCTGTGTGTTGCATGATTTAAATATGAAGTTCGGTTATTTTTGGGACACACCGTGTTAATAGATAGTCTCAGATGGGAACTTCAAACTCAACTTTTTGGACCCACATGCTCAGTTGAGTTCTTTTTGACAGATTTCACGATTTTCTGGAAACTCTAGTCCCTAGAAAACGCTATATTTACTAGGCTAGATGAGCAAGTGAAAAAGGTTTCAAACTTATGGCAATTGAAAAATACTTTGCTTTTGAAACCAATTTCCCCAAAAAAGGTGACAGGCGTTGGAACACAAACTAATTAAAATGCAATTGTTTTTTTTGTTCGTCTAACAAATTATTCATCCACTTTTATACGTATGTATATATATTTATTTAAAAAAAAATTGCAAAAAAAAAAATGCCAAAAATTATATTTCCAACTAATTTTTCAATTATTTTACAAAGAGCCAAACGAGTAGTTATATTTTATCAAGGGCCGCACTTGAACGTGCATGAAAACGAAACCCGAAATGGGTCAACAAAAATGAGAACTGCGCGCACGGAAGCTACCGGCGCTTATTGAAGTCAATGGGTTTTTAAATATCTGTACAAAATGTTTACAAACAAGTACTCATATGCATAAGGCTGTACATACATACTTACACATATGCGTAAATATAAGAATGTAACGAAAGCCAATAAATGGCTCAACTGTAAATAATAAAAAAAAATAATTAAAAATAAAAAAAAATTAAAAATAAAAAAATAATACAAAAAAATATTGCTAAGCTGCGCTTAATGAGATACGCTTTGTTGTTTTTAAAAATTATTCAAAACAGTTGTACATACAAATGTAATAAAAATAAATATGTTTGTATGTAACGAAGTCTATCATACCTACTAAAATGCAAAGCTTAGAGATGTTTGTTTGTATATTCATTTGCGCATTTCCGTAAAATTCTCTTAAAAAAATTCAAATATTAAATAATATGCAAAACGTTTAAATAAAATCTTTGTCTGCCTGAAGGGAAAAAAAATATTTTTACAAAAGTATGTGAGCGATTTTTTTACATTAATTTCAATAATTTTCAAAGTGAATTTTCTAAAAATTGTGTTTGTCATAGTTAACTGATTGTAGGGTGCATAGATGGTGAAAGGGCGTGCTGGCGAAATGGAGCAACAAGACGAGGTGGCCGAGTGGTTAAGGCGTTGGACTGCTAATCCAATGTGCTCTGCACGCGTGGGTTCGAATCCCATCCTCGTCGCATATAATTTTTGGCTTTTGATTAAATGTAAATATAAAAAATATAATTATGCTTTTTAATTGTAATAAATTTTAGTTGTGAAGCTTAGTCCTTACATTCAGCATAAAACAAATGAGTTTCTCTAAGCAGTGTTTTTGTACACTAAATTAGTTTATCAAAATTTTTATATTTTTTATAGACCATATTATGCAATTCAAAAATGTTTTCTCAGTTATCTCACAATGAGATAACCACTAAGAGTCAAAAAAGCATGAACAGCCTGATAATAAATAGTTGACGTTGTCTAGACACGTACACATTCATATACACACTCGTACACTCAGATGTATATATATAATATTATGAAGAAATAGAGTTTTAGCTTTAGCCGTAAAGCCATTCTGATGTCATTCCCCGAAAGAAATTATTTACTTTTTTTTTATTTTTAGAAATTTAAAACTTGACTAAAATTTGGGAAAAAATTTGTTGCGACGAGGATGGGATTCGAACCCACGCGTGCAGAGCACATTGGATTAGCAGTCCAACGCCTTAACCACTCGGCCACCTCGTCGTTATACAATTCGGCTGCTATGCGCGTACTTCATTGCGTTTACTGCATTATCAGCTAGTGGTCGATAAGGACGTTTCTTTTGTATATTACAATGTACAAAAAAATATGCAGAGATTTCATATTTTAGCAGAATATAACATATGAATATGTATGTATTGATTTTCGAGTTGAGCGAAATAGTGTGGAACGAGGAGTTTATGGGGAGGAGCTGGGCCGAAAATCGTTCCAGCGTTTACAAAACGTCACTTTTATTGATTAAATTTAATAGAAATTTTCGAGAATCGGTTAACAAGGTATGGAGCGAGAAGCTTAGGTTTTATTTAATCTTTCCGTTCGTTCTAGTTTTGGTTTAAAGCTTTATATTCATTGTGATTTTTTTTTTGCTTTTTGATACTGCTGATTTTTCAAAGTTTCGTGTTCGTAAAGTGTTTCACCGGAAATGACTTTGGAGGTCTACATTTTTTTTAATGAGATTTCAGATACTCTGTAACATTGAAAAAACCGATTAATAAAGGTCAATTGACGATTAGTGTATTGATTAGCCCCAAAGAAACTTCAGGAAATTTTGGTACCACTTTTAGCCGTTGTTGTTGTCGTAATGGCTTGCTCAATCTCGCCTAGGTATGCAGAAACGTGTCGAGTCTGGATACGTAGGAGTTGAGTGCGCTCCAGTGACCAGTTCCTAATTGTGCCAGTATCACTAGGATCTTGCAAGACAGCTCGAGTTCTCTGCTGGTGTTATATTGTAAGCGCTTGGATTTCGATTATTACATTCATGGTAAGATAGCTAATAAAAATGTTGCCTCTATGTGAATACCGTTTAGGGCCTGTCGGAGGTTCGTGCTTTTTAGCGGTTCTCTAAAATGTGCTTAATGAAGCCTGTTAGGTTAAGCATTCCTTTCTTGATGAAAACCTGGAAAACAGCAGCACAACTTAAGTAACTTGAGTTATTCAACCGATTGATAGTGTTGCAAAGTAAAAAAGTGGTACTGTTGTGGATGGACCACTGAAAACACGCTAGGGAAATTCTCTCTAACAGGCCTATTCTGTCGAGGTACCTAAATTTACCTAGGTATTAAAGTTTACCATTCAGTAAATTTTGTTACCATTTCGTATTCTGAGCTCATTGTTACCCTGTAAATTTTGTTACCAACGAAATAGGAGGTAACAAAAATATCTGCTGTTTGATTTTGTGTTGTAAGTTTGAGAAAAATAAAAACCAAAGTGGGTAGGCATATTTTAAGAAGTTTTCGAGACTGAAAAATAGCCCTTTAATTTGTAAGATAAGGTTCAGCTTTTTTTTGTTGTCCAGGCATATTTTCCAAAATTAGGTTCAAATATTTATGATTTAATAAACAAAATAAAACTTTTTAATTTTTTCGTGCACCGTCTTCCATTTCGATGTGAATATTTTTCTTTTTACTTTACCAACTGGCAAATGTAATTTGACAAGGACGAAAAAAGCAGTGCTGCCAAATTTTTTTTAAACATTGTAACCAGTATGCCAGAATACCAAATTCATTTTCGGGTATTAAAAAAAAGTAACAAAATTTACTTTACCGGCATCTCACAGTTACCGGCCGGTATATCTTATTTTCAATTTTACTTCAAGATATTTCAATTTTAAAAATATTTCATATGTTAATTTATTATAAAAAACTCTAGGCTGTCTGAAAATAATCTTACTTCAATTAGATTTCAGAAAATACTATGAAAGTTCTTTGTGGTTTTTTTAGTACATTTTATTTTTCTTTATTCTTCTTATTAATTTTTATTTTAATTTTAGAAAGCTGAAAATTCATTTATTTTTAATAAAACTGTTAGAACAAAAAAAAAATTATTAATATTTAAAAAAATAAGTTTTGAATGAAACTTCCTTGCTTTTTGTATCATAATCGGTTCAAAAGCATTTCCAAAAGAACCAAACGATGTTACTTCAAAATTTAAACCGCTACAACAACATCAACTTCAAAATTTTATTTTTTGGCAAACATAAATATTGCGATTCTGGCACAAAGTGGAATCGTAAAAAGCAAAACATCGAGATATACATATTTGAAATAAAAACGTATCATAAGTGATTTTTAAACCATGTTTTGTATTTTAAACGATTCAAAATTCTATATACCTTTAACTATCAGTCATTTTCCTCCTCTGAAATTGGACAGACATATCCTACCACAATTAACAAAAACTGTAGAGCCTCCCCTATATGCTTCTCAAAATCTGAATATTCATACGCAGCAACCGCTTCTCTTCGTTAAATTTGAAAAACCTTTTTTGTCCCTGTTAGAAACAAAAAGGTCCATATAATTAGTTTAAATATTTATAAAATAATCAAAAATTAAATGCGACGAGGATGGGATTCGAACCCACGCGTGCAGAGCACATTGGATTAGCAGTCCAACGCCTTAACCACTCGGCCACCTCGTCGTTGAACACCATTTGCGCAGAGTTCTGTTTTGTTATTAGCATCACCTTTAGTAACATCATTATCGACACTAATCAGATGTTGCTGAAGGGTTGAAAGAAGCCAATGTAATCAAGAGTTTAGTAGGTACTTGTGTACGAATAACCTTTTTATATCTACTTGTATAAATCAAACCAATATTTGTTCGATATATACAATTTAAACATAAATAAAATTTTATCTCATAATTTTCGTGTTATCTTTTAGCTAATGAAAGTGATAACTAGTTACAAACGCTCAATTAAGAATATGCATCATTTATTTCGTTTTTTCTTGTTTCCTTTTTAGAATATCTTACATCAATTTAATGTAATTTACTTAATAAAATGTATTTTCAAATGGACTGCAAATCATCTCATAATAAATTAACTTATATGATTTAAATAAATTAAAACAATGTTTGTGAAATGCAACAATTGTATGGCAGTTCATTATTACTCATTCTGTCTATGCGGGGCTAAAGTGCAGCGGTCGTGCTTGTTTAGCACCACAATAAAGCTAAAATATTTTTACAGTCAAATAAATAAGCACATATTATTCCCTAATTAACTGCTACCGCGACAGTTGCCATTTATAGTGTCGAAACCAATACAATCACTTTGCCTTAAGAGCATTGAGAATCAACCGGAATGCACTGTTGCAAGATAAAGCCCAAAAGGGCACAGATATCGCATTGGGCACGCCTGTTGGGAAACTCAGTAGTCCGCCAAGTGGTTCAAAACTTATGTTTTCATTAAATATGATAACCGGCGCATAACGATTGCGCACAGTTATTACAAAGAGCGCGACTGAAATAATGCCCTTTAAAAGATAGCCAACCACAAGCTCTACAGATGCACCTTTTAAACGTTGCACATTACCCTCGCTACGCAATTTCGTTTTTATAGTTCTTAACTCATTCTCGGCACGCATTAATTTCACGGTATACGTGTAGTGGGTTGTAGCAGCCGCCGACTGACGTACGCGTTCAACTTTATCTTGTGCCTCTTGAAGTTGCTGCTGCAGTTCATCACTGGTGGCCGAACCTGAGACACAGCGAAATATTTTGGACAGTTGCAACTGTAAATTAAATTCGTTAATAATGTTTACAATATAAGTCATCACCTGTCTTTAGCACTTACAAGCTTAACAAGATCGCCTACAATAGTCAACAGTAGACACAGCACAGTAATAGTTATGAAAAGGAACATTGTGATAACTAATAGTTGCAGATAAGATGGACAGACAGTGATTAAGGCCAGGTGGGTAATCCTCCTTGTACTTATTAATTATTTATTAAAAGTCGTGGATTCTTCAGAATTGTTGCTTTTGTCCGCTCTATTTTCTATTTTGGTTATGGAAGATAATAAAGTGCTGCCAGACAAACATTTTAATTTAATTTTATTTGACTCTTACTGATTTTAACAAAGCAATCCGCAAGATTTTTCGTTTGATTTTTTTCTTTCGAAATCGCTGATGTTGTAATGCTTATAAAGAACTTAAATTGTTCGTTTCTTTACACTTTTAATTAAATTTTTATGTTTAAAGGAAATAATGAGAATAAAACTTTTTAGCGAATCAGCTTTGCATCACTGAAGCCCATATGTTGTCTTTATGATTTTTTTTTTTATTTGTAAAATAGCCGATCACAACAAACACAGAAAATTGCCACTGTTTTGTAATTCAATAAATAATGACCGACCAAACGCGCACGGGTTTAGTAAATTTACCAAAAAAGTTTGAATTCTTATCAACTTTGACTACACGTGCGTCTTTGCGAGGATTAAAACGCTGCACCGGGTGTGGTGATTTGAATGGCGTGCGAAGTTCTGTATGCCGAAACCGATTATGCAAATTGAGAAAAGATGCGCTCCGAAAGCATATTCCATTGGATGCAGTGCGTTTAGAAAGTCTTGATAAACGGAAATCACTTTATTCACTACGTAAAAAAGATCAGAATGCATATCCTCGTAATTTTGTGCTCATCACAGTCACCAGCAGAAATGATGCGACATCATTCCAATGTTACAGCTGCGGCCCAACTACTACATCGACGAATAATGTACTGTGTAAACATATCCTAGCGTGTACAACAAATGCCGTTTTATTGCGTAAAGGAGAAGTCTTCACTATTTCTCGTGATGTGCTTTGGAACTTAAATGGCTTAGACGAGGATCACAAGCAGCGGCTCTGGAGCTTGTACCAAGAAGAAGAAAACAATGTACCTGCTGTGCAGCGTATATCAACTTCCTTATTTGTAGTGAAATGTGAAGTGTCAAAAGTTTTCCCTGCAGGACGTCTACATGTCACAGCTGTATGTAATGGTGCATCCACGAGGAAGGGTGTTTATTCTTGCTCATGCAAGAAACTAAAGATCATTGTTGAAACAGATAATTCGGTAGTGATGCAAGAAGAGGTTTGTGATCATATTTTATTAGTTTTGGCGGCTGTTTTAAGTAACCGAAAAGGAAAAGCAACATATGGAAATTTTGCAAGTGCGTTAAAATCTTACTGGATGCCGACGAATATAGAGACGCCAATTGTAGACGTAACACAAGAGGATGCACTTTTTGGTTTGAGCATTGACATTGGTGGTAACTTCAACATGGACGGTACAGATAGTCAACAAGCGGATGATATTTTTATTTACAATAATGATTTCATGTCTGAAGGTGTAAGTCGGTATGATATACATAATTGAGAATTAATATAACTGATACAAAATTTTTCTTCTCATCTAAACAGAACATACCCGACTTCGAAGATGTTATACTGAACTATCCACTTGACACCTCGGAACAACTACAAAATCAGCATGTTGTAGAAAATTTCACAACAGCTAGTGCAGCAGCAAACCCCAGCGATATGTTACATACTGGGGATCCGAATTTAGGTTTAAGCTTTGCTATTACAGCTGAAGACATAGAAGATATTAAATTCCATACTGCATCCAATACGAGTGGCATAAAGACGGTGCCCTCAAATGTGATGGACAACATGACAACTGCGCATCTGGAATTAAGTGATTGCAAAATCGAGTTGATGGATCAGTTTGAACTTACCGACCAAATTGACTTGTCAACAACTGAGGACATCACTTTGCAGCAAGAGCAAACGTGGCTTGGAAACGGTATAAGTATACTCGAAGCGCCAGTGGTGAATACTTCAACCACGACAACCACAATTGGCTGCACAGCCACACCAACAACGCTAGAAGCCACAAACGTGGCTCAAAACACAGCATTTTATAATGGCAATTCGTTACTAAAGGCGAGTCAGGTGGTGGAGGCGCCACCAATTGAATTACCCACAATTGCCATGGTTAAGAAATGCCCTGTTAAAGCATCTGAGTTGGTGAACAGTGTGAATACCCGTAAATTTCCACCTTTGCCAGCAAAAAGATCTCTTATTGTTAATGGAGTAACACACTTGGAGCATCAGCAAACAAATGATGAAAATATCATATCAAGTAATGAGGTGCCATCTTTGGCGTTTTCATCATGGCTAGACTATGTTATCGAAGCCATCAATGAGAGTGTGGAAATTGTAGAAGAAAGAAATGTTGAACACACCTTCCACGTACATGAGGTTTGTGAACTTCTAATAGTCTTACGCATTTTATTGTTCTTACTACTTTCATTTTTCAGGAAATATTCGCTCATTTTAGCAAAACTTTCAGCACTGGCATTAAGCTACGTATACCGAATAGTACAACAGTTATAAAAACCGGCAAGCACAAAGGACTTATCAAATATGTTTGGTATTTTTCGAATGCATCAACAGTGCGTAGAATATTTACAACAAGAAATGTAAGTTTTAATTAATGAATAAATAAAAAATCAGTACCATGTCCCTGACCGTATGCATGACTAATTTCAGAATTGTTTGGAAATCGAACGTTTATTTGAATATAATACGCAAGGTGTTTTTGTACCATATGTCACGCCACCTATTTTACCTGCTAACAGTAAATATAAACGCGTTTATCCGAAAATATCATTATATAAAACACATATTTGCTTCGAAAGTGGCAGTAGTGTAAGTATAATCAATGGGGTTATTTAATTCAAAACACTTTTCAAGCTAAATTCCTTGTCTGCTTTATTTTAGGAATTAAAACAAAGTTTCAAATTAGAGTGGTTGCCTAGTGCCTTTCCAAAAAGTCATCATGGTATAATGAAAGTGGAATTCTCAGTGGGTGTACAAGATCCAAATGAAATGCAAGGATTAATTGTTGGCAAATAATTACGAAATATTCTTAAAATTTCATACTATTAAATAGAGAATTACATAAATCTAGGCTAAGCGAAAACTATCTGCCACACAATGTGATACTCAAATGGATTCACTTGTTTTTTTTTTATTAAACTCTCACTAATATTTGTTGCTAGTTAGTAAGATTTTTCACTTGACAAAAATCGTATTGACGTTAGAATTTAAATTAATTTTTTACTTAGGTTAGTAGTAAATATTAAAGTAATGAGTTGCCATAGAAATAATAAGCTTAAGTGTATATATAGTTGTATAAATCACTACAAAATTAAATATATATAAGTGTGAAATAGTATAAGCTATATTTGTAAGATAAAGCTAAAAATATACAACTGAAAAAATTAAATTTTTTTTGTTAAGTTGGGCGGTCTTGGAATTCTTTTTGTTGAAGGAGTTAGTTCTATTTTTTCTTGGCTTTGTACATGTGCTTACGTACATACGTGTATGTATATGTACATGCAATAAATAAAACTTACCTAGTTCGCGTATTTTTATTGAAAAGAGAAACAAAACTTTTTCAAATATCTTTTATTTTTATTTTTATTTCTATTCAGTTTCATTTCGGTTTTTTGCTTTCATTAATATAATTTATCTGTATATATAATACATTCATTACTTCTTCTTTTGTTTTACTTAACATACTATGCTTAGCAGTTATTAAATATTTTCATAATACTCATATTACTAAATTTCCCTTTTAAATTATTTTTATTTATGCATATATGTATGTATGTATGTATGTATGTATGTACATATGAGTTTTACTGCAGTTGTGTACAGTTATGCAATGTATGTGTTTGCAATTAAGCACTACACGTATATAGTGCACCATTTAAATACTATTTCACATCTATACATCAATGTATGAGTATTTATGTATGAATGTGTGTATGCATTTATTTCGAATTTATATAAGTATTTACTAAGTATATGAGTGTAGTTTAAAGCTGAAAGGATACACCAGCTACAGAAGCTCGGTTTTTGTTATGCCAATTTGGGGCGTGGAAAAGGAGTTGTCAGTTAAATGTACCTATATATGTAAATACATATACATATATCTAAATGTGCATTTTTTTGTTAATATTTTACAAGAAAGTTTGTGCACACACAAGGGGGAGCAAAATAGTGACGGTCACAATTGAAATTTCCATTACACTAATTGGCTTTTTCCTGTTAATTCGCATAGATCACACATAGATATTTATATATTTATGTGAGCATGTATTTTACATCGACATGTAGATCACGTTTTAGTATAATCAATTTGTTTGTGTAGTTGGTAAAAATAAAATTTTTTTCTGCATTTGTTTAGTAAATAATCATGGCCACCCGTTTTTATTTACAATTCAGTAATTCTGTTAGGCTTAAAATATTATGAGTGGCGAATATCCTTTAAATTTCATCAAAAAAAAAAAAAAAAAAAAAAAAAATAAAAAAAAAAAAAAAATATAAATAAGCAGATATATAGCAACATCAAAGTTGAGATCAATTTTGTTATTCGTTTTAAAACCTTTTGCAAACTTCAACGTTTTAAGAAATGTTAAAAACGTTGCGTTTTCGAAGTAAGTAAATCACTATACTCTTATCTACATTTAAGTGAAATATTTTAAAAAGCTACAAATCAAGATGGCTACATTCAGGCGCAGACAGGAGAGTGTGTTGGACGTCACTAGCTATGCATATTGGTTTTCGACAAAGTGACCTTTAAGCTAAATACTTCCTTTTCCCCTGAAACATTATGTTTCTAAATATTTTATAACTGTTTCGTTTTTGTGCTGAAAATAATATAAATAATAATATTACTGCTGTAGCGTTGGTTCGTAGAAATTGCTTTATTCACTTGATAACTGTTAATGTAAAGAACCAGTCTTAAATTTTTTTTATTTCTAAAAATGGGTGCAGAAACTTCTGATGATTGCACGTGCATATGTTTGTGCATGTATATATGTACTGTAACTGAAAAAAAAGTCATTTGTATATTTACAATGTTCTCAATTTCTTTTTTATTATGTTGAGTTGAATTTGAGTTGAGTTTAAATGGGGAAAGAGAGATTAAAAAAAAAATTAAGTGTCAAACGAAATAAATTAAAGTAAGATAAGATAAAATTATATAATATAAAATGATATAAAATAAAATGCATTTACGTAAAATAAAATAAAATAAAATAAAATAAAATAAAATAAAATAAAATAAAATAAAATAAAATAAAATAAAATAAAATAAAATAAAATAAAATAAAATAAATAAAAATAATATAAATTAAAGAAAAAAATTATATAAAAAATAAATATAATAAGAATATTATAAAAAGATCAAATGGAATAAAATTTAATATAAAACGATATGAAATAAAATGATATAAAAAAAATAAAAAAAAATAACTTGAAATAAAATAAAATCAAAGGAAATACAACAAAATAAAGTTATTTACATTAAATTAAATTAATTAATTTAAAATATATACAATAAAATAAATTTAGTTAACATAAATAAAATAAAATAGCACAAATTAAGTTCATTGAAAATTAAATAATACAAGGTAATAAAATTAAATAAAATAATGAAATGAAAAGCAAAATAATATAAAATTTGCTGATGAAAGCAAAACTTGCTATATTAGGTGAAACAAACAATTTCTTTTACTCATTTGTTTGCATTGGCCATAAGGAAAATGTAACTCTTTTCAAATCTAATTGCATTTTATTTGCAATTTAATGCTTAATGCGAATAAAAAAGTTTACGATCTACACGTATTCAGTATATTCTCTATCTTACAGTTTATTTAAAATAAACAAGTATATTTAAATCAATTATATACACATATATAATTAATTAATCAGCCCAACACAATAATCTGTTTGCGATTCCTGGCATTTTCTTCCAAAAATCTTAATTTTTCAATACATACACTCTCACATACTGTATCTATGTGCATATATCTGAACAGTTTTAAGCTTTTAATACCTTTTCCGCCCACTTGCTACCCAATTTATAGTTTTTCACCAAATCATCTATTCAATATTTCATAATTTTTTTTTTATGTTCTTTATTCTAATTTTTTTTTGTAGCTCTTTACAATACACACACGTGCTGGAATTTTTTTTTGAATAGCATTTATTTCACATTTTTTTTTTACATTTTACAAATTCGTTAAATTAAATTCACACATTTCGTTTCATATCAAGAATTACGCGTAAATATATATGTAGATATATTATGCATGTATAACTATGTATGTATATTTATACATTTATGTATGCATGTTTATTATATTATTTACAGTTATGATTTGTGATTTCTATGCTTTCTGCTTATGCTAGTACACGTATGTATGTAACGTACGTATTTGTGCAACTACAATTAGCACTCACGGCGGAGGCGGCTGCGTAAGCCTACTTTCGAGATGAATAAATTTAATGTTGGCTGTGGTGTACAGTGACTATTCTTTTGCTAAATTTTGTTTATATATTTCTTACTTGTGCAGTTAATTTGTATCATTATTATTTTTCATTATCAATTATGGTGATTGTTTAAATCTCTTGTGCAAAACTACAAAAATTCAATCGTTTTTCATTTTTCGTAATTTTTTTTTTTTTTTTTATCAGAATTCACTACTTTTTGCGCCCTATGCTTGCATATATTTATATCTATATGGTATTTCCTTAATAAAATTTTAGTTTAATTAATATTTGTTTCATTTTCTGTATTTATTTTTTTGTATTTATTTTATTTCCATTTGTGTGGTGAAATAGTTTACGTTTATATGTATTTCCTTTAGTTTACAGTGATCAAATTTACAAATGTACACATTTTATTCCGTCTTCGCTCTCTTTATAAATAAATATTTATAGTTTTTTTTTACTTTAATCTAATTAGTTTTAATGCATATCTATGTATGTATGTATGTATATTACTAGTTTTTGTGTTTTTTTTTCTTGCTGTTTGTCGTACGTTTTTTTTTGTGAATTATTTACTAATTTTGCTTCATTTATCTTTTGTGCATTCGTAAAATTATTTTATTCTCATTTTCATTTTTATTTATATTTACATAGATATATATATGTATGTTTCTGTGCTGAAAGGAAATCTATGAGGACGGACGAATATACAGAAATGAGAAACAAGAGACAAGAAGGACACTCAGTAGTTTGACATTTAAATTTTTTTTAAATTTGTTGTTGTTGTTGCTTCTATATACACACAAATGCATGCAGAGTGCGGAAAAAATGCTTTGTGAATTTCAAAAACTTAATTTTCTGGAAAAAATGGGTTTAACCGCTCGTTTTTGAGTTTACGAATAATAAAATTAATGTTTTGAAAAGAAGTATAAAAAATTAAGTTGTGTTCAATCGAAATTTCTTTTCGAAACATTTTTTTTTCAACTAAATATGTATTACAGTTGTGATTCCGAGTCGTCTAAGGACCAAAAGCAACATTTTTTAAACCAAGTAACATATCACTGAATTTTAATCTGCTAAAATTTAATTTTTTTTTATAATTTAGCTCTGATATCGAATTGGATTTTTTTTTAAATGTTGTTATGCTTTACAATTGAAATGAAAATTTTTTTGCTTTGTTTCCTTAAAGAAACCGAAATTAAGTTTTTTGATGATTTTCACACGAAAAAGTTTAATATTTTGTTTTACATTTTACTTAGAATAAGCAAAAAATATTCAAAAAAATTTAAAACGATTGTTTTTACTTCAAATTAAACTTGTTTTTTATGATATGTGTATATGAGAGGGAGAAGAGCTCTTCGTAACGTTTTCGAGTATATTTTTAAAATAAGTTCTGAAGTCCAAAAAATATTTTGTAGTTATCGCCACACAAGCATTTAAAAATTACAAAAACAATATACATATTTTGCCTAAAATGGTTAAGTGAAATTTCGTTCAAAATTTAAATCAGAGAAAAACATGTTTTAAAGAAAAACTCATAAATTTTTTTCAAATAAGTCGTTGAATTCATTTCAAAATTAAATTATTTATTTGAAGCTTAATTGAACTGGAAGACTGGAAGAGTGGAAAACGCTGGTTTTGTGGCAATTTTGCAAACTTTAATTGTTGCGATTTTTTTATATTAATTTTATGATATTTTTCCAAAGGCAAAAAGCCATTCACGCCGTTCGCGCAGCGCGGAATTTTTCCAGTCAAGAAGAGTGTAATTTAAAAGAATTTTTTTTTTCGCATTCGTTGGAGATGTTGCTGTATTTGTGATCTAGTTTATTGAAAAAAAAAAAAAAAATTATTTAAAAATATTCAGAGTTCTGAAATTTTTTGATTTAGTGTGAAAAATACGTTTAAGGTGAACAATTTTATTTTGAAATAACTGTAAAAAATTTTAATTATTAAAAAATCGCGCACACGCCTACAAGTACAAACATATGTATGAGTATGTACATACATATATACATATATGCGGCTGATGAAAATATTTAGAATGCGTGTATGTATGTATGTATGTATATAGAACAAATTCATTTTACATATAAAACTTTACAATACGTATGTACATATGTAAATGGCCATTACTTACGAGTACTTAACACGCAGAAATCAATAAAGTGCATCGTGACATTTTTTGTTGCATGATATTTAATTATTTGAATTAGCGTATTTTATTTTTATTTTTGTTTTCTTTTTACTTATTTAACATATGAGATGAATTTTATTCATATTATTATTTTTTTTTTTTTTTTTTGTTTTTTTCTTTGTGAATTATGACTATACAATGAATCGCGTTGGAAACGCTTGTGATGTTTTAATATAAATTATATTAATTTTTTTATTTTATTTTATTACTGTTTTGCTCGGTATACATGCGCTCATAAGACTAAGACCGGGTATGAACGAAGGCATGTGGAATAATAATAAAGTACTATTTTGTAATACAATGTTGGTGAGACTTAAACTTAATTCACACGTTTTTATGTAACTGTTGTGCTATACATATATATATGTTTATATAGATGATTTTGTGTTTTAATTAATTTAAATTGTATAATAATTATAACAATTACAAAAGTAGCTACAAATACATTGATTATTGGTTTGTGCAGAAGCAAATATTTTGTAAATTAAAAAAAAAACAAATTAACGCTTACAGAAACTAAAACGCTTTATTAGAGTTCGCGGCAAACTTGAAATAAACCGTTTTAGGTTTGTAAATAAAAATAGATCACTGCAATGATATTTATTTTTTATTATTATTAAGACAATAAATTAAATATTATATAATAAATATACCATAAAATTTGGAAATTTAATATTTTTAAAATAAGGAAAACAAAATACAAATTTTTAACTTACACACATGCACTTAAAATCAAGCACTGACTTCTTAAAATATATATGTATTTTCACACATACATAAAATAAATGTATATTTTTTCAAAATAAATATTTAATGTTTATTTCAATTATGCATCTGTTGTAAGCATCCCTTATAGTTAAAAAAATTATTTATATAATTAATAGGGGCTTTGCGAACACTTGCTTTTCACTTACATTTTTCATACTTTTTAATTAGTTTTAATGTTTTGTGTTTGTTTTCTCTTTATTTTGCATAAAAATAATTTGTTAGTCTATGTATGTTTGTAAATTTCACGTTCTTTCCTTCTTAACTACTAGTACTTAACAAAAACTAAATATTATATTTATATATATATATATATATATATATATATATGTATATATATACTTAATAATTTATTTATTTTTAAATTTTAATTTTTTATTAATTCTAACCTACAATATCTAAACTTTGAGCATCTGTAACAGTCGCTGCTTTTGTTGTTGTTGCAATTGCATTGACATTTATAGTTGTTGTTGTTGGTTTTGTTGTTTTTGTTGATAGTGGTGTATTTTGTTTCATATTAGTATTAGTAGCATACAATAAACCATTACCATTACCGTTATCATGCAAAGTGGCATTACCATTACCATTACCGTTATAATTAATCGTTGCATTTGTCGACGATAAAGAAGTATTTGAGTTGGATTTTGTTAACGGTGTTGTGGCGTTAATATCAACAACGTTGCAAAATGTGTTGTTTGTTGCATACGAGTTGTTGGTGGCGGCATATTGTGGCGGTGGTGCGGCGGGTGGTAATAACGGTGTTAAACCATCGATGGCATCATCCACACATAACGGTGTTGGTGGTTGGGGTGTTGAGCACATTGACGAATTTTCGAAATTAGCAAGTGCCAAGTGGTGGTGGTGGTGGTGATGGTGGTGTTGTTGTTGTTGGTGATAATGGTGATTATTGTGTTGTATAGAAGACGCATTGGCATCATTTCCAAAGAGCGGTGGCGGCGGCGGTAAGTAATCGTTGATGTCATTCGTTGTTGTTGTTGTTTTTGTTGTTTCATTGTCATACATTTGTAGTTCGCCAACAGTGCCCGCCAAAGACGACAATGGTTGTTGTTGTTGTTGTTGTTGTAGATTTAGTTCGTGTTGGTTATGGTGCAGATGATGTTGTTGTGGTTGGTGTTCCAAATTATTTACAAGAGAAAACCGTTCACCATTAGTGGAAATTGTTGCAATGGAGGAGTTAGGTAGTGGTGGTATGGTGGTTGTTGTTTTTGTTATTGTAGAATTTTCAGTGTATGGAATATGGGAAATGGAATCGGTGTTGGGGATGTTGTTAGTGGTGTTGATGTTATTGGTGGTATAAGGTACAGTGTGGAGATTGTTTGTGCTGTTTTTGTTATCTGTTTTATTAGTAGCAGTGTAGGCATTAGTAGTAGTATTAGTATTAGTATTAGCAAAATTTTCATTACCAATTAAATTAGCATTACATTTATTAGTTGCGGTGTTGGTGTTGGTGTTGTTGACATTTGTTGTTGTCGTCAAATTATTTAAATCCAGTGGTGGTGGTGTTGCTGTTGTTGTTGTTGGTCTAAACCCACTAACGTTCGCAATTGGATATGGTGCCAGTGATGGTGGTTGTATTGGTGTAGCTGATATTAATGGTGTTGTATTTGTTGTTGTTGTTGTTGCTGTTGTTGTTGATGGTGTTGATGATGGTGGAGTATTCTGTGATTTTGATGGCGAAAATGTATACTGGTTTGGTGGTGTTGGTGTTGTTGGTGATTGTGATTGAATTGATTGATTAAGCGATTGTTGGGATGCATATTGTGGATGTTGTTGTTGTTGTTGTTGTTGTGATTGTTGATATTTCAAATTATTTACACTAGAATTGGGTGTGAGCGTTGCTGTTGTTGTTGTTGTTGTTGGTTGTAGTGATGGTTCTTTTGATGGTGTCATTGTTGTAGTATCAGTGGTTGTTGTTGTTGTATCACTAACATCAGTTGGTGTAGTAGCAGTCGTTGTTGTTGTGGTTGTTTGTGTATTTGTTATAAAATTTTTATTATAATTGTTTGCGGTGTTGATGCCATTCGCATTCGTATTCGCATTCGTATTCGCAATCGAATTCGAATTCGAATTCACCAGATTAACCGTATTACTAATACTATTACTATGATTTACGCTACCACTATTTTGCTGATTATTTCGATATGAAAAATTATTACAATTTTGTTGGGCATTTATATTACCATTGCTACAGATTTTACTGTAGAGATCCGGCGTAGCCGTTGTCACATCCTCGAATTCCGTACGCAACGCCGTACGTTCGAGCAGCTGGAGATTGCGCGGCAAAAACGAGAGTATATTATAAATGAGGCGTATGTCTTCGCTCGAGGTCCACACGCCCGGCCGCTTGTTGTGATACAATTTGGCATATTGGTAAATGCTCGCCGTACTGCAGTATTCCATTTCCATCGCCAATGATGATATGGCACAGAAGGTGCATGCTTGGGCGCCGCCATATCTGTTTGAATGATGGAAAAATTAAAATAAATATATTTTCTTCAATTCTTCTTATATTATATTATTTAATAAAAGTTATTTAAAGTTTAAATTTTTTATCCATATTAATGAGTAGCTTCAAATCTGAGCAAAAGCCGACAGTGATGAAAAATAGTTGCCTTGGCTGAAATTGATCTACTTTAGTGGGAAAAAACTTCCTCATCATATTGATTTGTTAGCGAGTTTTCGTATAAATATGACTTTTTTCATTTGCCACGATCGCATTAAAAAAAATTCTCCAGAAAATTAAATTAATGCAAAACTTCAAGCGTTGAAGCAGAAGAAAATCTATATATTTTTTACTTCCCCGTCGAAAGCTTATGGTTTTTATAAATGATTCATGGGATCTTTTTTAAACTGGATATGTACACGGTGTGTCCCACAAATAACCGTACTTTTTGGATACGAAATAAAATACACATTATATTATCTTCGAAAGTTATTATTTATTCAAAAAAGGTTCCATTGGACTCAACACAACGTTTGGTACGATCGACCAGCATCATTTATAGAAATGTTCTTCAGTATCTCGGTTACGGCTGCTTGAATGGCTGGGACATCATCATAAAATGCTCCCTTCATCTTGGTTTTCAGTTTTGGAAATAAAAAATAGTCACATGGTGATAGATCAGGCGAATATACGGAGGATGGTCGATGAGAGAAATCCCTTTTTTCATTGAAAATTCGAGCGATTTTTGGTCATCATTAAATTCAAGTGGAACAAATCGCGCACAGACCTTTCTTTTCCCCAAATCTTCACTTCACTCCAAATAGTGTTTTTACTCGTATTCAATTCCTCAGCCAACATTCTCGTAGTGAAATTTGCATCGATACCAATGATTTCACGGACTTTTTCCACCAGTTCAGCACGATTACTAGTTTCTGAACGTTCTGCTCTAGGGTCGTCATTTAAATCCTCACGACCATTTTTAAATCGTGTAAACCACGTATAAACTTGCTTACGTCTCATACAATCATCACAATAAACTTTTTTCATTAATTTTTTTTCAAGTTTGACACAAAATTTTATATTTGCTCTTTGTTCCATTTTATTTTTGAACCATTTTCACACTTTTGGTTTTATTGAAATGGCTGTCACTTTTACATCTGTCATCCGACTTACACGATGTTAGGTGTGTTTGAAAGAGAATAAATGTATCTTTTTAATGTTGCAAATTAAATCAATAGATGGCGCTGTATGTTGTATGATTTAAATATAAAGTTCGGTTATTTTTAGGACACACCGTGTATATATAAAATTCTCCTGCCGCAGTGTTTGTAAAAAAACTTCTCCGAAATGACGGTTCGAAAATATGGTGTTTATGGTTCAATTTACTTGGAATTTGGTACAAAAGTAGCTTTTTGCTCAGACAGACATTACCACGTCACGGGCTATTTGAAAATACTTAAATTGCTTTTTCCAGAAAATGGAACGATCATATACATATATGTGTATCCAAGGCCCAATTGGGTTAAATTTTTAGATGATTTGCCTGAATGGTCCCAAAAATGGAGCACCAGTAGTTGGATGAATTTCAAATTTTTAGTTTTAAGCATCTTTTGAAACGAACCATGGAAGACATTCCTAAAACATTTTTGGCAAATTTTTTTTTTTAGAAAATATATATAAAAAATGAAAAGGTTTTTAGGATCCGCTGCACTTTTCCAATAGGCTGAGACCATTAGTGAAAGTTTTAAAAATGAAGCGATTTATCTAACTTTTTTTTCGGTATTAATTTTTAAGGATTTCTACTATTCTAAGAATTCAAATTCCCTTAACAGTTGGGTATATGTTACCCGGACTCCTCACATTCAAATGAAAAGATCGTTTTGAACTTGTAGGCCTTTTTGACTGGCAAGAGAGTCTAGGTGTGTTCCAGTTTAATTTTTTTTCAATATTCTGCTACCTAGCAGCAAGTAGCTACACCAAACACTTGCAAAGCCTCACACATCGCACACTGTAAATTCGATAAAAAGTCTTACCTATCCACAACGACAATTGGACCGTTGCGATAATCAGCGGAACGCTCATGCACATCGACAATGAAATCGTAAATACTTTTCGGATTCGACATCTCTGGCCAACTGGGGCAATGCAGCATTTTCACATTTAGCTCGTAATCATCCTGTATCGATTGAATGACAAAATCACGACTAACATAATCGCTTTTGTTCGTTTTACGTAGAAATTTAACGCGATAATAATCGCTTTCGATGGGTTGCGTGTCGTCGGGCCAAAATTGTGCGAAGTTCTGTGAAGAGAGTGAGAGAGAGAGAGAAGTAATGCTGAATAAGAATATTTACATACATATATATGTTCTATGGTGAATAAAATAGCGGTGAAACAAATGTAACATAACTATATCCCATTTATATAGATAAATACTGAGATAATGTTACAAGAAAGGAGATGTAAAAAATTTTAAAATAAAAAGTAGGAGAACCGAAGAGCGTTAAAGAGATTATTTTAGTGGGCTTGACTGGGGTTAAACGTTATAAATTGCTGAACAAGCAAATGAGAGAATAAATATAAATTAATACTAATCAAAATTATTTAAATTATAAATAAAATAAGATTTATTTATGTGCAAATGGAGTTAATTAGCTGTAAGAAAATTTGTATTGCTTTTCACTAAAATAAAGATTATTTACAAATTTGCCCAAATGTAGGCAACGTCTTTCTTTACATAACGAAATTGTATAAGAAAAACCTTGCCTACATTTAGGTCGCCAGTGCGACAAAGGCAATATAATAAATATTCATATTCATCACTTACAATTTCGTCCAGCGACGACAGCAATACAATTGTCTGCGCATTGTGATCCCACACCATTTGCCAGAAGTCTTTCACGGTGTGCGACATTGGATGCTGTGTGACTATAAAGTCGCGTAAGCGCCGAAAACCATGCAGCCACGACGCATTTATATAATCGCTGCCCTCCTCACCCGGCTTGGGCGTCAAATGGACACGACTACTCTCGATTGGGAATATGGCACCACGATTCTTCACCGAATTCACCTGCTTCATCGCAGATGCAATGTGTATGTCTTTCGTTTGGAATTGTATAATATTTTTATACTGCTGCTCCAGATAGGGTGTGCAGTTTTTCCGTTCTTCAATTTGCTCGGTACGTAAATTTGTTTCGCCCGAAGCGATCGCTTCCACGAGTGCATCGTGTATGAATATATATTGCTCCTCGGTTTGTACGAGGAAATTACGTTGAATGCGTATGTGTCGTAAGAAACCGAATACATTAACGACTAATTTCTGTTGTATCTGTTTCAACATGGCATCTAAGACGATGTAGGTGCCTGTGCGGCCAACACCGGCGCTGTTGGTTTGGAGAAAAAAGTGGCATTAAGTGTATTTCTTTATGAAGAATGTGAGCAAAAAAAAACAGTTGTCACTTACCTGCAGTGCACCACAATCGGACCCGCATCGTCGGGGTTTGCAGCCGAGGATTTCTTTACAAAGTCCAGCACTGGCAGTGGATGATCAGGTGTGCCGTGATCGGGCCAATTTGTGTAGTGATATTGATAGACAATTTTCTCCGCGTTACACTGCTTCTTTTTCTTTAACTAGAGGAATATATTAAGAAATGGTTTATACCAGTTTCCCACATAACTCGACATACCTGTTTTACCTTGAGGTGCTTGATTTGCAGAGTGCGCACCGTATAAGTGGACATCACCTCCTCATCGACCATCTTCACTTGTATAACTCCGTACGTTTCAACGCCATCCTTTGGCCAATACATATCGCATTTTCGACGGCCACGTTCGACCAAATTGGTAATCATCACAATGATGGCCACGCGCTGCTCCCAAATCATGCGCCAAAAGCAATCGAAGGTGTCTGGCAGTGGTCCCTGCGTACCGATGAAGGCACGCGATTTCTGATAGCCATCAATGAAATTGGCATTGATGTAGTCCAAATTCTTCTTTTGTCCGGGTGTGGGATGCAAATGCACGCGACTGTGATCGTCTGTAGAGAGTATTTATATAAGTAACTTTTATAAGTAAAATTTCGTATTTGATACTCGTAAATATCCAACTTACAGGCAGTTATGTTGAGATAGCGATTTTTACGCTTATTCTCTGGATGTTGGGAATGCTCGCAGGGTAAATCATCGATCGATTCATTTTGTATTGCCTCATATTCGCGACTGAAGCCGATATCGCCGTCAGCGTGCAGCGAGGCCACATGTTTGGCGAATTCATTGACCGGCACAGCAGCGCGTATTTCGCCGGCCACCTCGACGGGTGCCTCCCAGTCGACTTGTGGCAAATTGGGATGATGTGGTGGGTCGTCTAAGTAGTAGTAGGCGGCGTGGAAGCATTTCCTGCTGGAAGAAAGAAAAGAACGGAGAATAGAAGGAAAGTGTTAAAAATTGCAGTGAACATGTGAAGGTGAAAAAAAAAAATATAACAAGAAATATTTTTGAAAAAAATTTAAATTTTAAAATATGAAAATTTTTCCCCTTCATTTTCATTTGACTTCTAAGTTCGCGAGTGTTTAAGATTCAAATAGTTTCCCCAGCTTTTCTAGAGGGCAAATCTGTTTTGGTGTCAGAGACAAATTTGTCTGCCAGAAGGCAATTACAGGAGAATTGGAAAAATCGACTATCATTCAACGCACAATTTTTCAGAGTTGGCTGCGAACTCGGGTGTTACTCTCTTTTGCAATCAGATCATAGAAAACTTATTTCCGTACTATATCAATCATTTAACTTCCAGCGATTCTTCTATGTTATAGCAATCATATGAGTCTAGTTTGAGCCCCTGTAGTGAAACAATTATTCCGTTCTACCACAACGAGTCCGCAAACCGGACGAACGTCTGCCAAAAAACTCGTTTTGAAAACCTAAAGCTGAAATTTCCCAGTGATCTTCTACAAGAAAGTCAAACTCCCTCCACACATGATCAAAATCAGGGTTTGGTAAAGTCCTCGAAAAGCTTTAGAAAAGCTCTCAACTTGGAGTATTTCAGCACATATCTGACATTTATAGACAAAAGCCAAGCTAAAAAATGTTTAAAAATATGTATCAATGATTAGATTGGCTTTTATTTTAAAATTTTAAAAATTTATTTGATTAAGAAAATAAAAAAGTTGCCACCCTTTTTAAAAAAACAACATTGAAAAATTTGTGCTGAAAAATTATGCATTTGAGAAGAAGAGAAATACTTTAAAGTTTTAAATTAGAGTAAGTTTTAGCTTAGCGTTGCCACCCATCTCGCAAAGTATATCCCTGAAGTTAAACTAAACGAAATATTAAAAAATAAGTGCAGACACATAGAGTGTGTAGAAAAGCGGAAAGAATAGAAAATTGGAAAAAAGTTGTATTATTTTTTAGAGAAGAGAAAACAAAAAATATCAAAAAAGTGTGCTGGAATATAAAGCCTTTAAGAAAATATTTTAAAAATATTAATTATAGAAGTTTATAACTTGTAAATTTAAGATTAGAGCTGCCACCTATCTCGGGCGATTGAAGTGATCGGTAAAACCAATTAAAATTTTGAAATGTATTTAAATATCAAAGAATAATGTGTTTAGTAAAGCACACGGAAAAATTGGAGAGCTCTTTGATTTAACAAAAAATCTTAAAAGAGTTGCCACGTTTAAAAAAAATAAGAAAATGTTGAGAGCTGTGTGTGCGAAGAGAAAATAAGATCGTACCGAAAAATATTAAAAAAAAATCTGAGGAAGTAAAACTGAAAAATGTATTCTCTTTTTCAATAAATTTTTTTTTTTAATTTTACGATGTTGGGAGAGTGTTTAATGGACTCTTCTACAGTTAGTTTTGAATAACACGACTCATGCGCCACCTAGCAGCGCTATAATCTTACCTCCGTGCTGAAGAGGAAAGGAAATCCTTCCATTAGTTTTTGAGCTCATACGCAACTGAAACGCTTATTTTGCACTGAAGAATTAAACAGCTTTTTAATTAATTACTAATGCGCGCAGTTATTGTAGCATATTTAAAGGGGCAGGGGCACTCAACCACTGCAACGCCAATAAAAATATCAAAGCAAAGCGTTTTTTCTAATGCAAATAATAATTTCTCCCCAATGACGTTCAATTTCAGTCATTTCATAAGTAGTCTATAAAGCAATGAACTAATAACGCTTAGTTTATTGAGCATAATAATCATCAAATAGAGTAACGCAGCAGGTACACACAGTGTGTACACATACTGACATATTTACAAACATGTATTGATAGCGATTAAATGGCAAGAAAATGGTTGTGAAGGTGGTAAAAAATGTAAATAAAACTGGAGTGATTGCAACAAAAGCTGGCTGCTAACGAGAGTTTAATAAAGCGTTAATATAAAGGCTTATCCATTTCGTTGCTTAGAAAGTACATGTATTTTACATCTGTTAAACTTAACTATCAAAGAAACCAGTTAAAAGTTAGGCTTTGATGAAAATTAATAGAGTAATAACCGCAACCCGCGTTAGAAAAAAATGGTGATGCTGTGAAGACTTCAATAAAGTGTTTGAACAATAAGCAGGAACGGCGGCAGGGACACTTTTCTCACTTGTTTATACGTAAATATATAAAAATTTTTATGGCTTTGAGGATTCTCAAAAAACGAAAGGCCACTACAACAAAAAAAAAAAAAAAATTTACTGTCTGGTGCGCTTTTTTTGTCCGAAGGTGTGATGGGATCTTACTTCTTTGGAAACGGGTACGACGACCTGTCACTGTCAATTCGGTGCGCTTTGGTCAAGAAACCGACTACGCTTGGTCTGTAATTTCAAAAGACGACTTTGATAATTTCTGATTTTAGGAAATTGTTGCCAAAGTCACATAACGCAATCGAATCTGGCTTTATTGATAGAGATATTTTCCATCCAGATTGTTCGATTTGACACCGTAGGATTTTGATTTGTGGGGCTATGTGATGGAACGTGTTACTGTTGAGGAACCCTTAACTCTTGAGAGCGTGAAAGCCAACATTCGTCGAGTTATGGCTGAGATTTTTTTAGCATTTTATTTATGTTTGCTTTCGAAGCCGCAAAATGAATAACCATGTATATATAATTAATACATCTGCAGCATATGCATGTTTTGACTTGTGCGTTTAGGATGGTAAAAGGTTTGCAAAAACAAAATAATAAAAAAATAATAAAATAAAATATTAATAATAACCATACCTAGGTATCAGCCAGTGAATGTATTGTAAATACATATAAATATATATGCACAATAGTTAAGCTTGGAGTGTATGCTTGTACGCAGTTGTTGTAGTGTGCTATAGTTTGTTTAGCCTACAAAGCCCACTGATTAAATACGCTTTTAGCAAATTAAGTGTAATTTTTTATGATGAAAATATGAAAAAAAAATTCTGGTATTAATACATATTTATTGTACTTAAATTTTTACATAGTAACAGTACAGTGTTGTTAAAAATGTAAGGATAAATGCAATTACTAGATAAAGTAGTCCCTAAGCACTCAATTAAATGAAAGAGAAAAACGCTGAACACATTAAAAGTGGATTGAATGGTATTTCATTCAACTCTTTTTACTTCTAACAGCAAATGAATAAATGAAAAAAAAAGAGTTGAGAAAAATAATAACAAAAAGCAGTTGCAATTAGCGTTGTGGTTCACTTTTCATAATAATACCCACAATGCGCATTACACTTCTCATTTGAGTATAATTTATTTTAATCTGAAAATAGTAGTGTGGGTAGCAAAATGAGGCGGCGCGGACTCGCGAGGATTTAACGTACAACGGCCGAAAGCTAACCAAAGGGACAAATAAATATGGCTGATTAATTATGTATGTCGCTCAAAATGTCTACTCCTTTTTGGGTAAAAAGTAAAAAAAAACAACAAAAAAAAAAATACTGTAGTTGAAAATCCTTTTTTGGCTTGACGAAAATTTGGTTACACTAATTATGGTTTGCAATTTACTTACAACAGCCTTTGTTGCGCTGTGGTAAATAATTAAGTAATATAAATTACAAAAAGTAGTGTAGTCATTAAATTTTTGTTTGTGGCTTAGAAACTAGTGCAAAAGCGGGCGTATTGTAAACTAACTACAGAGCTCTTAAATTACCTTAAAATATATTACACACATGCAGTTGATATGAGTTTCAGACTATATACATACACGTGTATTTTGTTATCATACGTAATTAGATATTTATCATATTTCAGCTACACAGGTAATATAGTATAATTGAGCTTAAGTAGAGGTTTGATGTGTGGTGTCACATAAATGTCAAATAAAAATTGAAATGTGCTCAAGTGTACATGATAATAAATTACTAATGATTTTTGTTTATTACTCACTGACATGACAAGCCTAATTAGTGTTTTGAAAATATATATAGTTTATTTATTTATTTTTTTTTTGCTGAAAATGTCAATTTAAATAACCGCATCGCTATATCGCTGTACATGAAAGGATATATTAAACCGGTGTATGTAAGTACCATCCAAATGTATACCAATCCAGTCAGATTGACGAGATGAGTTAATGCGGCTATTTCCTAAACGTGATCGTCAAATTTAGTATTCAACAGATTAGATATTTATCAATTAATACAAATAAACAACGACACAGAAAATCATCGAAATCGTAGAACTATAAGATATAGTTCCATTCAACCAATTTGTGCAGATGTGAGCATTAATAATTCATCCTAAAACGAAATACCATAAATTTAGTATGGTCCAAGAAGCCATTTTTCCATTTTCATCTGTTGAATAAAAAATCGCTCATACGACATGGCGAACTTTTTATTTGAATTATTTTATGTCATATGGTGCGATGAGCTTTTGATTTTTATTGATTAAAATCTCAGGTAAATTTATTTGTTATTGTTATTGTTTTTTTATTTTACACAACCAGTTTTCACTTATATTTTATGTTTATTTCTCACATTATTGTTGTGTAATTTTTAAATTTCAATTAATATAAATAAATACATACAGAAGTCTATTCCATCAAAAATCAAAAACAAGAATATTTTTAGTGCGCAAAAATTCAGCTAAATTTCACTTGTTAAAGTTGAAAATACAAAACCTCAGCTTGAAGTTGTTCTGTAGCTATTCAAAACTTTTTAGTTTAATTTTTTGGTATATTTCTCTAGAAACGCTTAAATAATGCATAACTTGGCTTAGCAATCACTTGAGCGCTCAAATGCCAAACACATATACATACGTACACATACACGTACGTTTGCGGGCGCATAAAAGCTTAAATGCGCATGCATAAGTTTATACATCGAAAAGAAAAAATTTGAAAGGATAATATGCACACTAAATTGCATACATACTTATGTATGCAGATTCACATACACAAATGTATGTGCGTCATTATATTTGTA